GGGGGGGGAGGAGGACCTGTACCCGAAATGGACTTCTGTCAAATGAATTTTTTGGTGGTAGGATTCGCTCACAAATCAAAATCAGGTTTGCTCTGCTGCAGAATAGCTTATACATTTATCTTCAAATGTTACTCTTTTTTACTAGTTGTAGCAGAAATGAGGGCAATGTACTCATTTCCCTTGCCTTCTCTTTGACTGCTGCTGTCCCTCTTTAATAAGGAAATACTTTCCTACCTCATAAAGATGTCATGAGATTTTATTCATTAATGAGACTGGAGTACTCTGAAAAGCCTGAGAGTGAAGTTTATTCATATTAGTTCCCTCCTTCTCCATAAATAGACCTAATTTTGATCTCCTTACTTGGGTAAAAGCTAACTATTTCAGGACTGACTCCTACATAGGCAATTCAATAATCCTCAACTAATGTAAATGAGCAGTTCCATTCCAAGCCTTTATGTTGTCCATTGATGTCACTGAGAGTACTTGCATGGGCAGAGTCATCCACACACAGATGTTTGGGGCTGAACTTTGCTAATGTAAATTTTGTGACATGGTATATCTGTACCACAGACGCTGTAGCAATTGCAGCTCATGTAAAAAAGCTGCCCAAGCCAGCTAGCTCGCTCATGTCCTGGTAGCTGGACAGCCAAAACAGAACAGAGCTCAGTCCAGGCTACGATGCCCTGCTGAGGAACTAATCAGTCACTGGGTAGTTAGGCTTTGCTGATCACCCTGATGCAGTACCCGAGGGCCAGCTAGCTTAAAGATTACCTGGGTACATCTACATGAGCTGCAGCCACTGCAGTGCAGACATCAACTTCAATGTCCACCTAAGGATACAGCCTACAAGACTTATTCAGCCTTAGGCTATGAGAAAAGAGACGAGAACGAGAGGTTACACATGTATTTTTAAAAACTCAAGCTTTTATTAGCCATCTTGGCTATACTGGGAAAGTTTTTCTAATTATCTCCGTCTTCTCTGTGCAGTGAGGGACACTTTGCAGCAGTTATCCTTAAAGAGGCATGACCAATGCCCCCAAAAAGTTCCCATTTTTCTCTAGACATGTTCCACCTAAGCAGCCTTTAAGGCTAACATGAATGAAAGGGATTAGAGAAACATAATGGTGCTCTTTAGTTGTACAGCTTGACTAGTTTGGGTGTTCAGTAGCAAATGACATCTAGCTGCTTTGCTGGCTCCCCTGTATAGTTTATTAGGCCCCAATCCTGCAATGAGTTTTGTATCACAGTCAGTATCACGTGGCCATGAAAAACCCAAAGGGAGGTTGAATGCAGGAGCACAGATGTGACTGTTCAGATCAGTTAGTCAAGTATCCCCATCGCTTTCAAACAATATGACAAAGAAAAAAGATTCAGAACATCAGAAAACGTAGCATTAAAAACAGCAGGTTGGGGGGTGTTATGGGATTTAGGGTCAGGTATAAGGTACGTGTGA